CCCTCGGAGCGCATAGACTCGAGAGAAGTCGCGCACCCCCCAGGCTTCCTTCAGCTCGCCGATCTGCTCCTGGAAGACCATGCTCTGGTGATCCTTTCGTCGGGCCTTGCATTCCCCTGTAAGCCGTCGTAGGCGAGCTTCGGTAACCAGCAACTCTCGGGCAAGGGCTGGCGCGGGGGTCGGCGCCCTCGACTGGTGCTCCGTAGTACCAGGCCCCGTATCCCGAAAGTGAAATCCATGTGGTGCGCTGCACCGTCCCTCCAGCGATTCCCGTGACCCCGAGTCGCCAGGTGGAGTACCGCACAGAGGTTCCAGCTCAGCACGGGTCCAACCGGGGCGCTGCGAGGGGCCACGGGTCTCCACTATCTCTGGGATGGGAGTGCGGCACCTGTCGACGCGGTCGCTGAAACTCTGCTGGTTCTCTAGCTCCTGGACGTGGCGCCTGCGCAGCTGGCCGAGATCCTGTACGACCTTGGCCCTCCGTTCGAGCTCCGACACGCGTTGCTCCGACTGCTCGCGGCATTGGTCGCCGAGCCGCTGGTTCGCGGGGGAGACCATCAGGGCCGCCTCCCGCAGCGCCGCGGTGAAGATCTGGTGCTTTGTCTCTGGCGTGGGGTCGTTGTCTGCCGTGTCCCAGTTCTCCGCGTTGGCCTGCAGGTTGGCCTCCACGGCGGTGCAGAACTCTCGTCGCAGCACTCCTCGAAACAGGCATCGCATCATCATGTCCCTGTCCAGCCTCGGTCCGTCCTGCCGCTGTGCGTAGCCCAACTGGTACTGCAAGTGAATCTCCATGGGGCAGTGGTCCCGCAGGTCCGCGGTGGGGAATGGCGCCATGGTCCTCATGAGGTCGGGCCGTATCCGAATCATCGGCACGAACCTCATCGCCGTGGTGGGGGCGAACACGTGGTCGATCCAGCTGCTGCGATGCTCTCCGTGGCAGCTAGCTGGCAAACTGAATTGAGTGTTCGCTGCCGTCATGTAGTTTGTCTGAGCCCATCCTCGCAACCAGGGTACCAAGCGAGAGTGGCGATGCTGTTCGTGCCTGCCCGCCACCTCGTCGTTGTGCTCGAAGCCGAGCTGCTCGTTGAAGTCGCCCGCCACCACTATCAAACATCGATTTCCCACTTGCGCCATCACGTCCGTGACCCAGCCCAAGATGCGCTGCATGGCCTCAGTCCTCTCCTGGTGCGAGCCCGACGGCGTGAGGTATACCCCGAACAGGAGAATGGGGGAAGTCGCCGTGGCGAGCTTGATGCCTCCGACCCGCCCCGTGATGCCGAGCTTGGGCGGTGGGCTGAAAATCTGGCGTATCAAGCTCGGCGCACCTTACGGCCTAGAAACATCGTGATCCCGCAGCTCTTGTTGGTGAAGCGGCCCCTGCTTCACCCCCAGCTGACCGCGAGATGCTTGCTAGTGCGGATCGCCGTAACAGGCACGTCGGCGTCCCGCTGACGCTGCTGCGTCCCTGGCAGGACCACCATGTCGAAGTTGCGCAGGGCCTGGCTCACTAGCTCCTCCCGCCAGGGCGGCAGGCTCTGCGGGCTGTAGAGGCCGAGCGCGAGCATCGTGGTCAGCGCCGCCGCCCTGCTTCGCGCAGCGAGCGTCCTCATGGCTGCGGGCGGCGCCCAGTGCAGCCTCCTCTCAGGGCCTGAAAAAGGGCAGCGCCCCCCATCCCGCGGCGGAGGGCTCCCCAGGCCCCGACGAAGCTCCAGCCCCTTGGGGGCCGTCGTGATCGTCTGAATCCTCCTGATTTGAGAGGACGTGGCGACTCTCCGCCTCCTCCTCCTCCTCCTCCTCTTTTTCCTCCTCCGCCTCCTCCTCCTCCTCCGCCTCCTCCTCCTCCTCCTCTTTCTCCTCCTCCTCCTCCTCCTCCTCCTCCTCCTCCTCCTCCTCCTCCTCCTCCTCCTCCTCCTCCGCCGCCTCGCAAAGATCCGTCCCGACCAAGCTACCTGAGCCGTGCCCGGCCGGGGCGGCGAGGGTGGCCAGCCCTTCGCTGAACGAATGAATGAAAGCTGGGTGTCGAAGCGCATGGGCAGTGATGCAACACAGTGGGCGGCAGTGCCGCACAGCGCGGTTTCCAGGGAGGTCCAGGCGCTGCGAGGCAATCAAGCCAGAGGTTGTGCACCCACAGCTGCCCCTCGGAGTTCAGTGGTTTGACGGCTGCTTCGTCGACCGCTGGGACCCTTTATTCCTCGATCCTGGATCCTCTCCCTTCCCGCCCTGCACTCACAGAAACCGATAGGCAGCGGGGGGAGCATCGAGCCGAAATCGGCGATGCGTCGCCGACAGGCCACCGACAGCAAGTCCGCACGGTCGTGGGCGGGGTGGGCCGCCGGGCCCCTGCTGGCGATCAGAAGGTGATCGGGGGTCGACGCAACCCGCCCTGGGGGCCTGCTCCTGGTGTTCTGCGGGTCGTCTAGCCATCGCTCGGACGTCCATTCCCTGTGCATGTTTCGGCTTCGTGCGTGCACAGCCAACCCGTATCATCAGGATGCTCGGTAAGGATGCAAGGCCCTTTGGAGGGCCATGCTAACGCTTTTCGGACGAGGCTGGCCAGCGCAAGCCGCCAAGGATGGGCAAGGATGCCAGGGTACCCGTGGGAGGGTTGCCCATCCTTACCATGCGGGTTGGCTGTCTGTTTCGCAAGGTGAACAAAAATGCTCCTCGTCGGTGGCAACTCATGGGAGCCTCCCATACCAGCTTGTCGGCTCTCGCGAACCAACGCTACATCGACGCGAACCGACGCTGAATCGGCGCTACCGCATCGACTCCCAAAGACCATACTCGACGCGAATCGACGCTGAAGCCAGAATTGCGAGGGCATGCCAGGCTCCCATGATCTGCCACCGAAAGGACGCGCGGCTGAAGAGGGACCTCGTGCCTCGAGGACGACGATGGGCGCGGATCGCCCAGGGGGAGGGGAGGGGGGGGGGGGGGGGGGCAGTGCTAAGGGGCCCAGGGACACGCAAATGAACACACACAAGTCCCAGGATTCCCTATATTTTCCCATCTGTTCCCGTATCCTCTTGGTTTTCCCATATTCTCCCATATCTGTTTGGTTTTCCTATATTTTCATGGTTTTCCTATATTTTCTTGGCTCTCCACGGCCCCCGCCAGGGCGCACGGCGAGGCGCAGCCCCGCGGAAGGGGCGCCCCCCCCCCCCCCCCCCAGGCGGCGCTGGGAGAGCCCCGCCCGCGGAGGACCGCCGAGGGCACCCGGAGGCCTCGAAGCCCACCTCCTCCTCCCCCTCCCCCTCCTCCTCCCCCTCCGCCTCCGCCTCCTCCTCCTGAGGAGGAGGGGGGAGGGCTTCTTCTAGTAGGGGGCTGCTTCTGAGCAGGCGCGCCTTGCCTGTACAGAGAAGGCCCGCGCCCTCCAGGAAGCCGGGGTGCTTCTGAGAAGCCTTCCCCCCTCCCCCTGTACCCCCCTCTGCGCGCGGCCGATCGTGGTTGCTTCACAACTTCGATACTGTCAGGCCTGAGCTGGGTCGAAGCGCGAGATCGGGTCGGGTCGGAACCGCAGCGAGTCGCCCGCGAATTGTCCCGACTCGGATTGGAATCGGATCGCCGCGCTGGGCTCTGGCTGGCCCCGGCCCAGGTCGGTGAATCGAGCCGCATCGAGTAGCGTTGGAATCACGGCTCCAGCCGGCGAATCAAATCGCACCGAATCGGATCGTAGGCGGCCCTGACTGGCCATGATGCATGTCCTCGACGCTGGGCGCCCTTCGGCCCTGATGCGTGTCCTTCGAGATCAGGTCCCCGGGTGCCCTGCTTGCCTCGACGTCGGCACCCGCCACTTCGCCCTCACGCCTTGTTGCAGCCTGCACTGCTCACTGGTGATCGCCCCAACGCGGGATAACGAGACACTCGCCGAGCGCATCAGGTCAACGCGCTTGTGCAATTCAGCTCTTGCGGCCCGAGGATTATTCACACGATAGTGTTTAGCGGCATCGGAGGGGGAACAAAAAGCAGACACAGACATTGCCTGCGTGTCTGTGCCCGTATTTAGCGGGGTCGCGCGTGCATCGGCATATCCGAACCAATGTTGGCCAATCCGAGAGAGCAGAGATCTTGCGCTGGCCATCCTGGGCGCGAAGGTCAGCAAGGCCGGCTGGGGCGACGGCCTCCCGTGGCCGGCTCCTCTTGAAGAGAGCAAAGGGGCGTCGGTGGAGTAATATGTTGAACAACGGGAGCATACGAGCGAGAGTTGGTGATACATATATATATATAAAGAGAGAGAGAGAGAGAGAGAGAGGGAGAAAAAAATGTGTGAGAGAGAAATGGAGAAAGAGAGAGAGAGAGAGAAAAAAAAAAGAGGGAGAGAGACACACGGGGTGCTGATAGGAGAGGAAACGTTTAGGAGCAACAAGGAGCGAGACCCAGAGTAGGAAAATGGGATGTGTATAGGGAGGGAGAGAGGACATGCAGAACAGTGAAATGAGACATGAACGAGAGATGTCGAAGAGGCGGGGAATTTGGAGGAACAGAAGCACTGAGAGAGGGAGCAGGAGACTGCTGCAAACATCTGCCTGTTTATGCACATGCAATGAAGAACACTTCCACTTCTTAACGAGGGTGCGATAATCTATACATATATATATACACACCACCAACAACATATGACAGAAGGATTATTGGAAAAAATGTGAGCGAGGGACGTCGGATTGAAGATGGAAGAAAGAAGGGTAGGAAGAGGCAGCGGGAGTGAGAGGGGATGGGGGAGGGAGAGAGGGCAAGAGCGAACGGGGGAGACCAATAGAAAAACAGGGCGAGCCAGCAGGACACCGGAGAAGGGTATTGAATGACAGTGAGGCCAGATACCGGATACCCGACGCGGGGGAGATTGAGACGGAGGGAGAAGACGCAGGGGCCCACGCACACACGACAGCTCCTCTGGGTGCGGGAGCCGAGACGCCAGCCCGGATGCGAGCACAACGCGACGGCAGCACGAGCACAGCACCACTGCGCACACCTCTCCCGCACTGGGGCTCAGAGGCCGTGTCTCCCGTGTCCTCGTCGAGCCCGCTCGGCTTGGCCAGCTTGCACCCCATGGGCCCGCCGCCTCCGCACACCGCAAAGGTCGCCTGGCAGGCGCCAGAAGAAGAGGCGGTGCAAGAGGGATCGGAGCGGATTGCGGCGCAATCAAGAATGTGGTGCAAGTAGTGTACCCGAGATAGCGTCACAGAATCCGCCGACCCAGTCAGCGTGCGTGAGAGGCCCTTCGACGCGAGGGCAGCCCAGCCCAAACCGAAGTACGCCAGCCTCCTTTGCATCGTCGTCGTCGCAAGCGAGACCGAACAGACAAAGGGGATCGAACAATGCCGCAATGACGTCGAAGGGAAGCCCCATTTACCCTTTGTCCCTTCCCCGCCGGGGGGCGCGGGGGGGTCCGGAAGGGGGGGTGTCACGGGTCCTTGGCCGTTGTCGGGCGATCCCGGAGGGGCTCCTGGGGGTCGTGACCCCCACCCCGGGCGGTAGCCCCTGTAGAGGAGGGAGACAGGGCGGTGGTCCCAGACTTCGGTCGGGCATGTCCCCCTACAGAGGGAGATTATGGAGGAAAAATAAAAAAATGTCGCAAACAACTTCAAAAATAGCCAAACATATTCAAAAAATCGTTCCCAAACTATTTTGATAACTATTTTTGAACATTCCCCGTGCGGAGGGACACGCCCGACTTAACCCCAGACCCCCGACGCCGTGATTTTGACACAACTTCGATCTCCGGAGGCCTGGACGGCTCCGAGTGCTGCAGGTACGGTCGGACCCTTAGGACAGAAGAACGTCGTTCAAGAACATTCGAGGGGGCCTCCTCCTCCTTCTTCTCCCTCCTCCTCCCTCCTCCTCCTCCTCCTCCCTGCTCCTGCTCCTCCTCCTTCTCCCTGCTCCTCCTCCTCCTCCCTCCTTCCCTCCCTCCCTCCCTCCCTCCCTCCTCCCTCCTCCCTCATCCCCCTCCTCACTCCTCCTCTCCCCTCCCTCCCTCCATCTCCTCCCTCTCTCCTCTCTCCCTCAAGAACATCATACCCTCCGCCGAACCGACCTCGATCTTCTACCTCGGAGCGACCGTGGGCTCGTGCGGCGTCGGCGCGCCTTCGCACCTTGAAGCGATCGTTCGGCCTTGAGGCGATCGCGGCCCCGATCGTTCGAGGTTGAATCCAGTCGGGCTCAATTGCGTTACTGTGTCCATCAGTGCTTCCGCGTCGCAGAATTCAACCTCGATTGCCTTCGCCAGCGTCGCCAGCGCGCCAACCCCGCATGAACCTACCCTACCAGACCACCCCAACCTAACCCGAAGACCAGAATTTCGGGTTTGGGGGGGGCACGGGTTCCACATGTGTTTGGTCAATGTTCCCCGACGCCACCCACCACTGAAAGCTCGCAGTGCTCCGTTGCTGTCCGACGGCGGCGGCAGCGGGGAATGGGGAGACAAAGGACCCAGGTGAAGGCTTTCACTTTCTGCACTCGCCGCAGCTTCAATATGTCGGTCCTTCTGCCTACGTCGGCATTCTTAGTTTCGTGGTACGTTCCAGCATTCCAGCTGGAGCCGCTCGCTGGCCCGGAGAGGGGGGCAGTCGCCCTGGCCCAGACCACGACGCGCGGATCGCGTTTTGTACAGTCAGGGCGTTGACCTGAGGAACCCCACGTAAGGAACGAGGCCCCTGTTTTCCATCAGTCAAACTTCGATTTCCCATCGAAAATCAAAGGACAACCTAAGGCAAGCTGTGAAACAATTAAGGAGCACGGAGCCCCTCCCCAAAGAAAAGGGTTCCTTCTTCAGCGCCCCGACTGTACCGTCGCGCCCAGCGGGTGACGTACAATAGGAGCTCGACAGCCAGCAAACAGCCCAGATACTCTGCCAACTGTTTCGATTTAGACGACAAGCCAATCAGTCGAGTTGCCAGCCAGCCAGCCGACAGGAAGTCCAGAAACCTGCCACTAGCAACCCAACCCTGAGACCCGAGGACGTCCACTGATGTTCGGCGTGGGAACGCCACGCTTTCCATCGCAGAACCATCGTAAGCTTAGGTCGGGCATGACCCCCTACAGGCGGATTTTGGACGACTAATAAAACATAACCCCAAAACATTCAAGCATTGCTCAAACATGCAAAAAAATCGTCCCTACTATGTTTTGACTACTCCTCCTGTAGGGGGACGTGCCCGACTTAATCGTAAGCCCAAGAAACCCAGGGCACCCTGGAGGCAAACAGGGTGCTTTTTGGCACGGGTTCCCACTGCAGTTGGATCCCAGAGTGTGCGGACAGGCTCTCGCTAAGAGCTAAACTGAAGGGGCCCAGGGACACACAAATAAATATACACAAATCTCAGGATTCCCCATATGTTGTCATATGTTCTGGATTTTCGTCTTCCCCCCACTTCCCATAGTTTCCCATATTGACCTGGGGATCGACGAATATTTATGTCTGCGTGATTTTCCCTCTTGATAGACTCCTGCGGAGGGATTCCAGAGGAGTGCGGCCAGGGACTCCGACGGGGCAAGAGTCGGGCATCTGTTGGATTGAGGGGGGGTAGTGCGAGACACTTCGAAGGGCGCATCACACAAGTACAGCTGCACACGAGGGCCAGTGCGTTGAGAGTCAGGGCAGCGCGCGCGAGGTAGCGTTTGATGCAAGAGAACACGTTCCCAAGGACGAGGGAGAGAAGATGGCACTTCAGCTAGACATTTAAGGCCACTGGGCAAAGCCAGAACGTCGCACGCACCAACCTGGCATAGGCGATCTGATGCAGTGAACCGTGGCCTGCGAGACTCCTGGAAACTGGACGCGTGGCCGGCGTCGGGGCGACAGCACGGCTCCACACTGGAAGTACGGTCAGCCTCGAAGCGAGAGTGCGCCTCCAGACCAGAAAATCTGGCCAGCATCGGAGCGAAAGCAGGCGAGGACGAGATGGGAAGGAACAGGGGGGGTGGGACAAGCTGCTTCGTGGAGCACACCCCGAATGAATCTGGGCAGTCCACAGCACTTTCGTGAATGTGGCCCACGCTAGACGAACACACACTTACTTCAAACCAGGTCTGTGAATCACACATGCTCCATGAACTGCATGCGGCAAAGTCGTGTCGTGACGACGCCGGCGTTGGTTTCTGACACCACGTGGATCATTGCACTCTGAACGATCGGCTGCTTTCCGACCCTCAAATACTGCCGTATATGCCGTGTCTGGGCCACTCTTGGCGGTCAACCTTGAACGCCCGAAGAGGGCTTGCCGCCGCGTCGACACGACACGAGCACGCCGTAGGGTACTGGGAAGGCCGCAGAAGACGCATTCCGCAATCAGACGAACCAGGAGGGGCGCGGGGGTTGCTAAGGGAATAGGGGGGTTCTCAGTGGACGCCAAGAGGGTTATACCTGGCCTAACCTAGTTCATAAATGGGTTACACATGCCCCAAGAGTCGTTGAAAGGATTCGACAGCTCCGCTAAGTGGGCGGAGCCCACTTAGCCTGGATCGGTACCTCCCCCAAGCCACTTAAGGCAGTAGCAACCCACTAATGAGCTAGGTTAGGCCAAATATAACCCACCTTGGCGTCAACGAGGGCGTTTCTTTATGTTCGGCGATGGCGGGCGTCATGGGGGGGGGCGAGGGGGGGGTATGACGTAACGCCCCCCCCCGCCGTGTGGCTCCAGCACCGCAGACGCGCCCGCGCGCGCGACGCGACGAGCGACGAGCGACGAGCGACGAGCGACGACGACGACGACGACGACGACGACGCGAGCAGCATGTAGGTGGCGATTTGCCCCACTGTGCGTGTGTACACCACAACGCTCGCGTGCACCACAGCGCGCGTGTATACCACAGCGCCTGCGTACACCGCAACAACCGTGTGCAACGCAGCGCCTGTGTACACCACAGTGCTTGCGTACACTACAGCGCCGGTGTACATATGTACACCGCAGCTACCATGTGCAACGCAGCGCCTGTGTACACCACAATGCTTGCGAGCACCGCAGCGCCTGTGCACGCCACAGCGCGTGTCTACACCACAGCACCTGCGTGCAAGGCAACGCTGGTGTACACCACAATGCCTGCGTGCACAGGACAGGTGGAAGGAACATGTACGTGAGGATCTGCTGCGGACAACTAAACGCCACGCCAAGAAAGTGCTGATAATCGAATGCGACGTTCTTCCCTCCTCCTTCCTCCTCCACCTCCACCACCTCCTCCTCCTCCTCCTCCTCCTCCTCCTCCTCCCTCGTCCTCCTCATCCTCCTCCTCCTCCTCCTCCTCCTCCTCCTCCTCCTCCTCCTTCTCATCCTCCTTACCCCCTGTCGTGCGGGTTGGCGCTACAGCGCACGTGCGCATCTCAGCGCGCAACGCAGAATGGTTTATTGAATCGGTCCACTTGGTTCTCGGACGGCCAATTTAGCTCGAGCCTCCTGGGTGCAAATGGGAAGAGTTAGGGTGATGCGGGCGGACTCGAGAGGACTCGTAGATTCCAGCGGCGCTCCGTTGTCCAAAACGATTAGTTTCGATTGTTTTCTGTGAAATCCACAAGCGCACCATTTTGTCAAAAGGATTCGTTATAACATTCTACATACAACAGTGGTGCTGTGTTGCGCACGGTTGCTGTTGTGGTGCACACAGGCGCTATGGTGCACACAGGCACTGCAATGCACGCAGGCATTGTGGTGTGCACTGGTGCTGTGTTGCATACGGCTGATGTGGTGTACGCAAGCGCTGTGGTGTGCACGAGAGCTGTTGTGCCCGCAGGCACGGTGGCACAAACTGACGCTGTGTTGCACGCGGCTGCTGTGATGTACAGAGGCGGTGTGGTGTACACAGGCGCTGTGGTGCACGCAAGCACTGTGGTGTACACAAGCGTTGTGGTGCAAATCGCCACCTACATGCTGGCGCTACCCGTCCTCCGTCATTCCTAGGCATTCCCAAACGCCGCCGGCGCGAAACGTGACGACATCGACCCCCTCCCCCCCAGATGATTGTCGTCATCGGCCCGGAATAAAAAAACACGTTTCAGCCGCGTCCGCGCGCACGACTAATGAGCGCGGAGCGACAAGCCACGAGCGACGACGACGACGACGACGACGACGACGACGACGACGACGGCGACGACGACGACGACGACTGCGGACCGGACTCCTATGCGGATTCCTACGCGGGCATCTACGCGGATCCCAAAACACACGGCGGCAGTGCCCGGAGCGCACTGGGGGGGGGGGAGCGTTACGCCATATCGGGGGGGGGAGCGGGGGCCATGACGCCCGCCATGCCCCAAGCCATAAAGAAACGGGCTCCACTGATAACCCCCCTATCCCCTTAGCAACCCCCGCGCCCATCACAGAACGAAAAAAAAAAACATACATAAACTGTCGGAGCCCCGCGCGGCTTTCTTGCGCGCCGGACCCCCTCCCCCTCCCCCGACGTGCGGAGCGACGCCGGAGGGCGGCGCTGGAGCTGCCGCCACGGGGGTGCAGCGCCGATCCGAGAAATCCAGGCGGACCACCAAACGTTTGTGCTCATGTGTCATTTCGCTCTTCGAGCAGCCCATCCTGGTGATTATTGTCTTCTGCCACACCCTCCCCACTCCAGTCAGATTCCACCACCCAGGGCCACCTTCAGCATACAGAAGCCACGCCCCAGGGAGGGAATGTTGCACACCAGACCCACGACGAGGACCCTCGCTCGCCCCCTGGGGCTTCTGGGTATACAGTCGACCCGTATCAGAAGGACGCACGATCAGGATGCAAGGGCCTTGGAAGACCGTGTCGACACTTCGCGGGCGGGACGCGGCCAGCACAAGCGGCCAAGGATGAACCGAGGAGGTAAGGATGCACCGGTACCCTTCCCATGCGGGTGGACTGTAGTATGTAGTTTTTCGGGCGGAGCCCAGAACTCCGTCGTCGTGATTTTGTCCACAACGTCGGCCCTCGAAGGTCTGGACCCCTTCCCCGGGTCCAGCCTGTCATCCCAAAGGTCGATGTTGGCCAGTCCCCGGGGTCCGGCAGGAGGCCCCCAAGAGGGCGAGAATAAAGCAAAACCTCCCGTCGCGACGTTCCTTTGTCCCGTTTCCCTGCAGCGTCGTCGTTTTTTGCCCTTTCCTTTTCCTCGTCGTCTCTGAATCAAAGGGAAGCCCCTTCCCTTTCTTCCCTTCCCCGCGCGAGGAAGGGGGAGGTCCCGTTCCTTTTCCTCGTCGTCTCTGAATCAAAGGGAAGCCCCTTCCCTTGCTTCCCTTCCCCGCGCGGGGGGGGGAGGGTCCCGGGGGGGGGTAGCGAGTGGGGGTAGCGAGGAGGGTCCTGGGTCAGATACGCCGCCCTCCTGGGGATCCTCGGTCAGAGGGAACACCCTTCCCTTTCTTTTCTTCCCCGCGCGGGGGGGGAGGTCCCGGAAGGGTAGCGAGGGGGGTTAGCGAGAGGGGTCCTGGGTCAGATACGCCGCCCTCCTGGGGCTTCTCGGTCAGATACATCGCCCTCCCGGATTCGCAATGTCGCCTCTGAATCAAAGGCAAGCCCCTTCCCTTTCTTCCCGTCCCCGCGCGAGGGCAGGGGGGTACCGGGAGGGGGTAGCGAGGCGGGGTAGCGAGGGGGGTAGCGAGGGACAGAGGCACCTGAGATGCCCATCAGACGTTCCAAGAGGCATCTCAAATTAACACGCCACTCTCGTGTTAAATTCTGTCCTTCGGGTCTTTGTGCCGACGACGACGACGACGACGAGGACGACGACGACGACGCGTGCGACGTCGACGACGACGACGACGACGACGACACGAGGACAGAATTAAAAACGCCACTCTCGTGTTAAGTTCTGTCCTTGGGGCCCTAGTGCCGACGCGACGACGAGGACGACGACGACGACGACGACGAGTGCGACGTCCACGACGTCGACGTCGTCGACGACGACAACGACGACTCGAGGACAGAATTTAACACGCCACTCTCGTGTTAAATTCTGTCCTTCGGGTCTTTGTGCCGACGACGACGACGACGACGACGACGAGGACGGGGACGACGACGACGACGCGTGCGACGTCGACGACGACGACGACGCCGACACGAGGACAGAATTTAAAACGCCACTCTCGTGTTAAGCTCTGTCCTTGGGGCCCTAGTGCCGACGCGACGACAAGGACGACGACGACGACGACGACGACGAGTGCGACGTCCACGACGTCGACGTCGTCGACGACGACGACAACGACGACTCGAGGACAGAATTTAACACGCCACTCTCGTGTTAAATTCTGTCCTTCTGGTCCTTGTGCCGACGACGACGACGACGATGACGACGAGGGCGACGACGAAGCGTGCGACGTCGACGACGACGACGACGACGACGACGACGACGACGACGACGACGACGACCACGGACGACGAAACGAAATGAACACGCCACTCTCGTGTTAAATTCTGTCCTTCGGGTCCCTGTGCCGACGACAACGACAAGGACGACGCGTCGTCGTCGCGACGACGGGTGCTACGACGACGACGACGAGGACGACGGACGACGACGACGACGACGACGACAGGAGGACAGAATTTAACACGCCACTCTCGTGTTATATTCTGTCCTCGGGGTCCTTGTGCCGACGACGCGGACGACGACGACAACACGAGGACAGAATTTAACACGCCACTCTCGTGTTAAATTCTATCCTGGGGGTCCTCGTGCCGACGCCGACGACGACGACGACGACGCCGACACGAGGACCGAATTTAACACGCCACTCTCATGTTAAATTCTGTCCTGGAGGCCCCGGTGCCGACGGCAACGACAAGGACGACGACAACGACGACAGGTGCGACGTCGACGACGTCGACGTCGACGCCGACGACGACACGATGACAGAATTTAACACGCCACTCTGGTGTTAAATTCTGTCCGTGGGGTCCTAGTGCCGACGACGACGACGACGATGACGGCAAGGGCGACGACGAAGAGTGCGACGTCGACGTCGACGACGACGACGGACGACGACACGAGGACAGGATTTAACACGCCACTCTCGTGTTAAATTCTGTCCTTGGGGTCCTTGTGCCGACGCCAGGGTCGGCGGCACAGGCCGTAAGGCCAGCGCAATAAAGCAAAACCTCCCGTCGCGATCTGTTCGCAACGACCCAAAGGCCTCCTCGTCATCCTCATCCTCCCCTCTTCCTCTTCCTCCTCCTCCTCCTTCTCCTCCTCCTCCTCCTCCTCCTCCTCTTCCTCCTTTTCGCTCGCCACGAACACGCCAACATAGAGCACCAGTGATACAACAGTGGCCGGCGAAATGAGCGAAGCGATTAAGAAACATAATCTCCCGTCGTGATCTGTTCGCAGCGATCTGGGCGCCCGAACTGGGTGCGAAAAAAATGGGAACGATCCGCAACAACAGATCTTGTCCAAAACCGACAGCGGCCGCTGTTGGATTGGACAGGCGGCCCCCTATCTCAACTGGACAACGTCCGCGGCGACACCGGCAGCGAGTCCTGCTCAAGCGAGCAGGAGTTGCGGGGTCGGTCTTCGTACCCCTCCTTTCCGCAGCCACCTCGACCTGTCTCGAAGCGAGGGGAGCGGGAACGGAGCGCCCCCGCCTTGTTGCGAAAGCGGCAGGACGGACATACCCACTGCACCATCGCAGCCCGGCCCCGAGCTGCAGGGCGGCCACATGCGGCGCCCCTCGGTGCCCACGCGCGGGCCCCCCCCCAGCACGTCTGGGCTTCCGTGCTGCGGCCGACGGGCACTCACTTTCCGTTCGCGATTCAGGAGGAGGTGGTCGACGACGACGACGACGACGACGACGACGACGACGACGACGACGACGACGACGACGAGGACGAGGAGGAGGAGGACAGAGGAGGAGGAGGAGGAGGAGAAGAGGAGGGAAAGTGGGAGGAGTTGGGAGGAGGAGGAGGAGGAGGAGGAGGAGGGGGGAAGAGGATGAGGATGAGGAGGAGGAGGAGGAGGAGGAGGACGAGGAGGAGGAGGAGAGGGGAAGGAGAGGAGGAGGAGGAGCGGATGGAGGAGGAGCAGGAGGAGGAGGAGGCGGATGGAGTAGGAGCAGGAGGAGGAGGAGGGGGAGGAGGAGGAGGAGGAGGAGGAGGAGGAGGAATAGGAGGAGGAGGAGGAGGAGGAGGAGGAGGAGAGGGAGGCACGGAGCTCGGGCTTCGAGGCTCGAGGCTCGCTTCCCGGAGGTGTCTGATCGCCCTCGGGCGCCGTCGTGGCCACGGCTGGATCCGCCGCGAAACTCTGGGCAGAACGCCCCTCAGGAGAGGTCCAGGGGACGATTCTTGACCCCTGATGCTTCGAGGTTCGAGGCTCGAGGCTCGCTCCCTGGAGATTTCGGATTGCCCTCGGGCACCGTCGTGGCCACGGTTGGCTCCGCCCCGAAGCTCTGGGCAGAGTGCCCCTCAGGAGAGGTCCAATGGACGATCATTGGCCCCTGATCAGGCGCGCCGACGGGGGGGGAGGAGGCGAGAAGGAGACAGCGCGAACGCCGGACCACTGTCCACCATGTGGAGCTGGCAAGCAGTCCTGCATCAGTCGGCGATCTTCTGACCCAGGTCAATCCAGACCCAGGTCAGTCAGGCCTTGCAGAATCCTGCAAGATCCTGCAAAATCCTGCACCAAACCAGGGTCAATGCGAAAGATCCTGCAGGATCCTGCAGGAGCCTGCACCCAAACCCGGGTCAATGCGACCCTGGCCCTGCAGCATACTGCAAGATCGGGCGCTCTGGCTGACCCCCGTTTGCATTCACACCCCCGTCTCAAGGCTCCTGAATCAGGACGCGTCAGCGACCCTGGCCCTCACCTGGAATGATGCCAACACCACCAATCCCAGACTGCGGTCGTAGGGCGCGGAGCGATCCGCTTCCCCTCCTTGCCATGCTCCTGCGCCAGCTCCCGCCGCGGCTGCGGACAGGTAGCTTGGAGGAGGCGACCCTCTCCCGAAAAATCAGGGTGGTTGGGAGACTGTGGCCAGAGCCCCAAGAAGACCCAAGAAGGAAGCACGCACGCTTTCCATGTCCAACAAGAGCTGTGACTGCGTACTCATGTTGATCGCTTGAAAAAGCGCCCATGTCCATATGCGAGACGGCGCTGCATAGAATACAGTAGGAGGATGACGACAGGGGATGAGCAGGAATGGCTGAGGGATAGAGACGGAGAAGAAGGAGGAAGAGGACGATAACAGAGCAGGGGAGGGACATCTCGTAGCCAATGATACGCACGTGCATCACACCATATGTTGTCCGACATTGCCCCGCTTGGGTGCACCAATCATCAACCTATCGCCCTCGGGGGGGTAGGCGATTGCATGCTCAGAACACCACATGGGGGAAGCATGTCCTCTTCAATGCCCACGCGACCCACTGGTGAAGTGCCAAACTCGCTGCGAGATTCAATCGTGGGCATTGGCAACCACGATTGAATGTACTCCCCAACCACTGTTTGCGCCTCGGAGTTCTAATGTACTTCCTGAAGAACTGGGTTTGATTATCGGTCTGGCGGATGTGTTGTCGCCGTCGCCGCCCCGTCGCCGCCTCGTCGCCGCCCATCGTCTGGGCCTGATTGCTGGTCTGGCGGCTATGTTGTCGCCGTCGCCGCCCTGGCGCCGCCTCGTCGCCGCCCATCGTCTGGGCCTGATTGCTGGTCTGGCGGCTATGTTGTCGCCGTCGTCGCCCCGTCGCAGCCCACAACGCAGGCTCTCCTCTTAAATAAAAAAAGGGACCCCCTCGGGTTTATCGGTACACCACTTAGTGTTGCAATGTACTGCTGACGTTGCCCCCTTCCGTAAACATGAAACCCGTACCGTCCCAACCCAGCTGGTATCGACCCCCACCCCCCATCCCCCGCAAAAAAAGGCACACACACACAAACACTCGTTTAGCAAAAACCATCAGTTGTCATGATCCTTTGGGAAGAGGAACAACAACAACAAAAAAAAAAAAAAACGAAACGACATGCACACGCGCGCGTCGTCGCGCGCGCATCCGAAATCCTTCAAAAACTCTTGGTGTCGAAAATCAAATCGAGTGAAAAAAGAGAAACAACAAAAACATGTAACTTCGCAACACGGATTCTCAAACAAAAACGGGCGCACGCGCTCTTCCGAATTCTTACGAAACAAAAACATACATTGTTCAAGAGTGTCATACTTAAATACCAAAGCGGGCTTCGCGCGCGCGCATGTCGGAATAGTTCGAACGCCCTCTGCGCGCGCGCCGTCGCGAAAATGCTTTGAAATAAATGTGACAGGGTGCACACGCGCACGTCGTCGCGCGCGCATGCCAAAATCGTTCAAAAACCGTCGGTCTCGCAACCTCTCTCAAAACCGAACGCCCACAAACCAAATGGAAACAAATGATTTCGCAACATCAATCTTCTATATATATATATATATATATATATTTTTTTTTTTTTTTTTTTTTTTTAAAAAAAAAAAAAAAAAAAAAAAAAAAAAAAAAAAAAAAAAAAAAAAAAAAAAAAAAAAAAAAAAAAAAAAAAAAAAAAAAAACGTGTGCCCGCGCTCTCGCGAATCCTTAAGAAAGCCAGAGGTTCCTCAACATGTCCATGAATTTCTGCCAAACGGGCATCTGGCGCCACATGCCGACACCATGCGCACGCCCTTTGCGCGCATGTTTTTTTGGGGGGCACGACCCGTGTCAAACAATACCATGCGAACCACTGCCGCGCGTCGACCGCACGCGCATGTCGAACTCCTTCGAAAAGCTTCATCACCGACGCGAGGACGCCGTCATCGTCGCCGGCGTGATCAGCATCGGCGCCCGCCCTGGCCGCGCCTTCGTCGGTGCGAACATCGTCACCAGCATCGCCACTAGCATCATCGTGTCTACCGTTGTCGGCGTTGCCATGATAACGCGCCCGCCCAACACGCCGACTCGCACTGAAGTGCCCGCTGGGATGCGCCCACCGGGGAAGCTCCACCGCGGCCGCGTCGGTCGCGCCAAACTAGCTGGTCGCTGCGCGCACGTGCTGGGGTTGGCGCGGCCGCAGAGATGCACCAGCCAACGCCAAGCACTCATAGCAATCGCCGCCGCATGGGTTTTGCAAACCAAGTTGCGGGCGGGTGGGTAGGATGACCGCGCGAGCAGTGGAGTTGACAACTCACTGCGAACAGGAAATAGTTGCACCACGTAGATTGCATAACCTAGATTGTCCGTCCGAACAAAATATTGGGGTCGACCCCCCACCCCCAGAATTGACAGGACCCGCTTCCCGTTTTGCAAATTACAAACGATTCCCTCCCATCGTCCATCTTAAATCTGAATTCATAATATCCGAGGCGCGCAGGTATCGCCCAACCCCTCATCCTCTGAACAAATAGTGCGCGCAAAACCATCAGTGTCCAAGAATCCATGTGCACAAAAATGGACGAAGTGCAAACGCGCGCGCGTCGCCGCGCGCATGCCGATTTGTTCTTGATGTATTCATCTTACATATATACATATATATATATATACAAATATATACCTATGTGAAGAGAAAACTTCGGTGTCGTAGGGATTCAAAGATTGAGTGTACGATTACATCAGAGAAACATAAAACAAATAATGGCATCGCAACACGAATGTTCGAAAAAAACCTGCGCCCGCGCTCTCGCAGATTCCTCCTGGAGTCTATTTTCCAACATGTTCACGACATGATACTAAACGGGCCCCCCGCGCGCGCATGTCGACATCGCTCACACATTTCGCGCGCGCTGTCGCAATAATCCTCTTGCAAGAAAAAACGAAGCGCACACGCGCGCGTCGTCGCGCGTGCATGCCGCAATCCTGTCCCTTGGGCCTCGTGAAGATTTCAAGATCGAGCGTCCCGAAAAAAAATATATCAAAACGTACCTGGTGTGCAACATCAGTTGTATGTGTATATGTAATGCGCTCGCGCCCTTGTGAATGCTCAACAAAACCACGGGCCGCTGAACAATTCAGGATGGTTCCGGAAACGAACCGAACCGGCCGAACCGAACCGGGCCGAACCGAACCGGCGCGAACCAGTGTTTTTTGTCAATGGGAACCGAACCGAACCGAACCGGAAAATTACGACAAACCGAACCGAACCGAACCGGGAATCCGAACCGGGCCGAACCTCCCCCCGCCGAACCGGCCCGAGCCGGCTCGAACCGGAACACTGGCCACGGAGGGAGGAGGAGGGAGGATGACCGGCGGCGACGACGACGATGACGATGACGGGGTTTGGAGCCCCTTTGGGGCCCCTTTGGGGTCCCTCTGCGGGTTTGGGGCCCCTTTGGGGCCCCTTTGGGGGTTTGGGGCCCCCTTTGGGGGTTTGGGGCCCCCTTTGGGGGTTTGAAGCCCCTTTGGATACCCTTTGGGAACCCTTTGGGACCCCTATGCGGGTTTGGGACCCTTTGGGGCCCCTTTGGGGCCCCTCTGGGGCCTCTTTGGGGGTTTGGGGCACCTTTGGGGCCCCTTTGGGGCCCCTGTGCGGGTTTGGGGCCCCTTTGGGGGTTTGGGGCCCCTTTGGGGCCCCGAGCGGCGGAGGCCAGCTCCTTGGGTCGGAATCGACCGCGATCTGACCGGAACCTGACCGAACCGGAACAGGAACCGGTCCGAACCAGAAACAAAAAATAAACGTACCGAACCGAACATAAAAGAACAGGAAGATTACGACACCGAACGGAAACGAACCGAACCGAACCGGAGGCGCTTCGGAACCGAACCGAACCGAGCCAAACCGGAACTTTCCTGCA